GGGGCGGGACGGGGCGGGGCGGCCCCGGCGGGGGTGGCGGCAGCCCCGGGGCCGGTGCGCAGCCCCCCGGTGCGGAGCCCCGCGCTGCGGAGCGGGAGGCGGCGCCGCGGAGCACAATGAGCCGCGCGCGGCCCCGCTCCGCAATGACATCACCCCTCTGGCCCGCCGCGCTCCCCCATTGGCCCGCGCCYGCCGGCACCGCGGCCTCATGGGAGTTGTAGTTCACTGCTTAGAGCACGGCCGAGCTCGCCGCCGTGCGCGGACTACAAATCCCGAGCTGCCCCGCGCTGCGCAGCCGCCAGGAGGAGGTGAGAAGGGGTGTGGAGAGGGAGGTGGCGGCGCCATGTTGATGGCGTGGGGCGCTTTTAGGCCGGCAGCAGGCGCGGCTCAGCCCGGGGAAGGTGTCGGAAGGGTGCGAGGGGGATGTGTCTTCACGGGTGGGTGCGCATGGGGGAAAGGGGAGGTTGAGGTGGGGACCGCTGAAGAGGGTGTGGGAGGACCTGGTGGCTGCTYCTGGCGGGGGCAGCGCTGCCCTGGGGCCGCCTCCGTTGCCCGGTCTGTGCCGGAGAGGTGGATCCGCGGCAGGGAGCGGGCGAGGGGCTGGGGACGCTGCAGGGGATGCGGCCGCCGCGGGCTGGGGCAGGGCAGCGCGAGCAGCCGCCGCTCAGGAGCGGGGCCGAGGCCTCGTCCTGGCCCCCGGCGGGGACGTGCCCGTCTGCGGAGCAGGTGAGTGCCGAGCCTGGGGCCTTCGAGGTTTGTGGCTGCCGCGTGGGGTCCGCTGACACCCCTGATGGTCCCGGGCCCCGCAGCCTGCCTGGCTGCGYGTGCCCAGCAGGAGGAGCTTCGCTTCGTCTCACAGGCACGTCTCCTTGCTGTATCCCATAATACTTTACACTCCGTGGGCTTAAATTAGCACCGAGGAAGCTGGTGGAGTGCGTGAGAGGGTGTAAGAGCATTCAGCATGGTGTGGAAGCAGCTGAGCTTGTTCACCTCTGTATTTTCTTTCCTGCATTTGGGCGCTCTTGGTGCGTTTTGGCYTGTCCTGGCTTCAGCAGGCCCTGGAGTCTGGTTGTATTTTTTGGACGGAACAGTCACCCCTAGTCGTGCTCCTGATGAGGAATGATGCCTCTGTCACACTGGAGGTTAGGTTAAATATCTCTTATTTTTAAGAAGCCTGGGGTTTCTTCGCTAATCCCAAAATAGCGTGTGGAGGATCTTTGCCCCAAAGTGGGAGAGAAGGCAGTTGTTTGTTGGAGATATGCATGATTTGAGCAATAATGTGTATGAAGTAATGTGGTTTCCAGTTACAGCTGGTTCCTGTGAAATAAAGTGCTTTCCTGCCTCAAGAAGATCTTTCACTGAAGAGAGTTGAGAAGAGCTATGTGGCTTCCTGAAAGTTTTGTCTAGAGCTGTATAGGAAGAGCTTAGGAAAAGTGAGTTATAGTCCTCTATTTTTAAAATACATTGTCTTTTCCTGCAGGTAAGTACAGCGTATTTGCTCCAGATAATACTTTGCAGTGGTGCACAGGTATGACGGCCTATTTGCTGCTTTGGTCACATGTTGGAGGGAGGCTGTCATGAGAAATGTTCTGTAATGAATTTGTGAAATACTTAACCTAAACCTTACGGTCTTTTTAAGACTTGCTCAGATTACAGCAATGCATTCAGTTATTCCAAGTTCTGAAATGCAGTTTAAAAGGAGTGTGGGGAGGAGGAAGACTGGTTCTCTGCCTTCCTTACTCATGCTCCTGTAAAACTTTGGATGTGTTGGGAGAGGAGCTGCACCTTTTGTAATTGCCCTTCCCTCCACATCCTAACATGTCCAGTTTGGCTCTGCTCCTTCTGGAGGAAAGGAGTGCAGATGGTACAGTAAACTGGTGTTCATATAACTCACAGTAATAATTGCACATATTTGAATAATTCTGAATTACCAAATGTAGTCTCCTTTGTTTCTTTTTTTTTTAAACTCTGTGCTATGGATGGATTATCTCTTGGATTAGTTTGGTTTACTAGAGAGGGTTGGAGGGAAAAGGGCAATTTTAGACTTCAAGCCTCTGTATAGCAGTGCAGCTGCTCATGGAGTGAGGATGGTAAGCATTGTGAGGGTTTAACTGGGAAAAAAAACACATGCTAAATTTTTATCCAAGACAAGTCAATACATACAACTGGTGTATTGACTGTTTACATTTTTAGTCATTATTTTAGCAACAGTTTATATACACAATTTTTTCCCTCCGTCCTACCTTTTTCACATTGGTCCTGCTCTGGGGAGGAGACTTTGAAACCTGCTTAAATACAATTATTTAATTTTCTTCAGTGGTTCTTTTCTTGATTGCTAAATCATAGATGGAGTTGCTTTAGCCCATTAAAATGTAGAGGCCTGGGACAAGAAACAAGTACAGTGGAGTTCTGCATCAGTTGGAGGCCACTTTGATCRTTTAAAGGTGTCTGATGTTTCTTAATGTATGAATTTTGCTGATTACAGCTTGTCAGAGATTCTCATGATGAAACTTGCTGCATGTCTCAAACTTGCATAGTTCCCCTCACTGTGCACTCTGTAAGTGTCAACGTGAGAGTCCATTTCGTGACCCARAAAGTCTCAGTTGCAAGACCCAGACCAGCACACAGGTCATCGACAACCAGTTCCAGAAATACCTATTGTCTCAACACTTGCATAGTGCTTAAAGTGGCCGGYGGGCCTGCCTCTGGCATTCATTAAACACACAGGTATTGTCTGCTCTAATGACATCTATTTAAAAAAAAAAACAAAACAAAACCTCTCTATACAGTCCTTGAGCTCCTGTCTTCTTAGGTTTCTTTGCACTTGGACTTAGGTCAGTATCCTACACTGCAGGAACCACGGGTTGTCTTTGCTGTTGAARTGACTTTAGTCACTGGGATTTTAGGTAAACATCACCCTAGTGCCCTGGAAAATGATTGGAGCAGGTGAGGTGTTCCTGAAGAGCATGGGAAGGATGAGGATGTGTGAAAATAAGTGATTACAGCTGTTTCCTTGTCTTAAATCACTTGGCCACAGTCTGATGTAGGAATATGGCTTCATATCTRATTTTTCATTCTGACAAGTTGCTTTTTAGCAAAACCTCAAGGAGTTGGCTGTCATAACTTCAGCATTAACTGGATAGCCTACTAATCAGGTCTGCAAACTGGGTGAGAAATGCATAAATTTGAGATTAAATATATATAAAATAAGAAAGGTTGAACCTTAGGTTTCACCTGAGCTATGCAAGTGCACTGCCATAACATACTTAAGGTGTCAGATGTCATGATATCAACATATATGTCAGTGCACTATGGCAAACTGCTGTCAAAACGTTGCCGTTGTCAGAGTTACAATCCCTGTGTAAATGCTTGCCGTGTCAACTAGCTGGGGTCAAAATTTGTGTGAGCTCAAACAAAGAGGAGGATGGTCTTTAAAGACCTAATGAGGATGTCTGACTTGACCTGCGCTGGTCTAAACGCATTGTGAGAAAAGGGGGCAAACTTCACCTTCAAATTGCTGCTCCCGTCWTAGAAGCTGAAGAAACTGCCCTTAGGGTTTTTGATACATAATGGCCTCACACAGGACAGATTTCCAAAGAGTTACTGGGGCTGTGAGGTAAGAGTGWCTTCAGCTTGAGGTAAATGTTTTCATATATCATATAAATGTGTTGATGTGGTGTTACTGTTTCTTGGTGTCTTCATGGTAATGATATGGGGAGGGGAAGGATCTGTTTTTAAAGATATTACTGTCTGCTTTCTTAATGAGAGAAGGTTTGGAAAAGTTCAGGTAAGTGATTTTTGGAAAATTGTGGTGAGGCAAATGTTTAAACCAGTTTCTAGAATATAGATTCCTATGTAGCAGAAAAGCAAGAAAGTTTTATCTGGAAGATAATTGTAGCTGATAAAAACAAGGGTAAAAACAAGATGCTAACAATTGTGTTCTTTCCCTCCCTTCCTTTTTCTCTTTCAGCACAAGAACAATGCTTTAAAGTATTGGAGAACCTGTTTACACGTAGCGTGGACGTGCTCTCTAATGGAAATGTGGCAGCAGTTCAGTAGCAGTTGCACAAGATGAAAGGATGTGCAGGCTGCTGCATGTCCCTGCATACATAGGAGCTGATTTCTGAAAGAACCTCTGATTTTTATCACTGATAAAATTCAGGTTCTTCCAGAACTTTTAATTCCATTTTACTTGAAATGAGACCTAATTGCAGTACCAAAGCAAGAAATTATTTTTACTGGGGGTGTTGGAATCTAAACAGGAGACTTAGTGTTGTTCACTGTGAGGGGCAGAGGAAACAGGCCATGCAGATGTGAGCTGGCCCCTGTGGAAAGCACGTTAGCCCATAGTTGAAGTGCCCAAGCAGGAGGGRCTACTGAAGCTGCGTGTTGTGCTGCTGCTTGCCAAGTATGGATGTATCCCTTCAGGTGACCATAGAAAACTGTAGGGTCACAGTCAAACCAGTTTCCCACTTCTGCTGAGAGTGTAGGAACACCTGTACGGTTCAGAAGCAACCAAACGTCAGATGCGGTCGAATGGGAGAATGTTGCCTSCTAAAAATAATAGCCAGGCTTGGTCCACCAAACTCCTGCCAGGTTACGTGAGTAGTGCTGAGGAGCTGGAGACTGGAGCCCCCTTGGCCTGCTGGAGGCAAGGGCACAAACACAACACGGGGGCCGGTGCCCAGTGTGGATGCTGTGGTTGCTGGTCCTCTGGCTCTGCTCTGTGTGATGCGCCTGGGCAGTTGATCTGGACAAGCATCAGCCTGCTACACAATTTGGGATTAAGCTCTGTGCTGCACCAAGCTGGGTGCTGTGGTGAGGATACAGGTTTGGACCCTGCTCTGTTGCCAGCTCTGTGGGCAGGTTCTGTCTCTGTGTTTGAGAAAACCCGAGCTGGATCCTGGCAGGGCAGCCTGTGCCTCTGTGTTGGGGAGAAGAGCTGGACTGTGGTGTGGCAGGTAYTCCAACACAGGCCAGCAGTTGCACGTGGGAAGGATAAATTTKGAGAGTCACTGCACTATTTAAAAGCCCAGTAAAATACATTTTTTTTCAAGAAGAAAGCTAGAAAAATGGGGGATACTGTAAGATAATGAGGCACTTCTGCAAGTTTCCAACACTTCCTTGTCTCTGTACTAAAGTGTGTGTGGGGGGGGGTGGGTAGACCAGGGGACAAAGCAAACAGCATAACCAAGGGTAAATATGTGATGTGACAGCTGCTTTCCAGGGAATTATGGGCCATTATACACACAGTTCTAAGGAAGTCCTGCAACTACAGCTGCTCTCCCTGAGTGCATGTGCTCGTGTGCTTGGCCTTTCTGGCCGTTTGAGTGCAGTGAYGCAGAATTACACATTGCTTACTATATGATTCAGCTTAAAATACAAGCTTGAGTGTGAGTGCGTCAGTGTGGCAAGCATGAGTGTGACAGCTCCCAGAGCATTCCGTAGCTGGAGCTGTTTGGTTCAGGGTAAGTAAACACTGCACTGGCAGCGGGGAAAGAAAGACGAAAACACATCATTTGATGGTGTTTTTTGTGTGTCAGAGCTGCTGGTTGTGGTTGTCGTCCCTGTCCCAGACTTGGGATTTTTCCCAACTGCCTCGTTCTCCTCTTAGGCTTTTCCAATCTGCGTGTACCTGATTATTTTTCTTTAGTGGTGGCATTTCTCTGCAAGTAATCTCTTCGTTGAAATGTGGAARCACCAGTAAGTGTCTCGGGTCCCTCTCCAAGTTTCTGCTGCTATGATTCCATTTGTCCTGTTCTGTCAAGTAATTTACATGTAGTGTCCTAAGGATATAATTCAGGGAGTGCTGGTAAGAAGTTAACCTTGGCTGTGCTCCACAGAGGTCAGGCTTACGTAAGCTTTTCTCCTCATGGTTTCAATGCACTTAAAAGTATCTGGTTTCCTACTGCACCCTCAGGGAGAAGAGAGTGCTAGGCTCTTGCAAAGACCTGTAGAAGGACGTTGGAGGGTTGCTCCTGTCTACTGCAGTACCCTGAATCTTCCRTGTATGCAAGACCTGGGGCTCTTGCAGTCATAGTGACTAACAGTCCTGTCATGTTCCAGCATATGAGGTTGCAGCATAGATCTGCTGATCAATATCAGTCACTGATCAGTATGTATAAATACCTGAGGGGGGAATGAAGGGAGGAGGAGGCTAAACWCTTCTCAGTGGTGGCCRGTGATAGAACAGGGAATAATGGGTGTAAGTTGAAACAGGCAGTTCCATCTGCATGTGAGGAAGGAAGAACTTTAATGTGAGGGTGGCGAAGCCCTGAAACAGGCTGCCTGGGGAGGTTGTGGAGTCTCCTTCTCTGGAGGTCATCAAAACCCACCTGGATGCCACCCTGTGCTTTGTGTTTGCCTAGATGATCTGAACTAGAATATCTAAATTTGCGCTAGATGATMTCTAGAGGTCCCTTCCAACCGAAACCATTCTGTGTGCTGAGCTGACCTTMCAAAGAGCACAGCTTCAGATGCAACTATTCCCAGATTTGGGGTTTGTCCATGCTGGAGTTATGCTGTATGTGGAGTGATGTGAATTTCTGGGAAATTCTGGGAATTTCTGGGAAAAAGTGCTTGAACAAGGGCCGCTTTGCACTCTCGGGGAAGGTCGTTGCACGTGCGGAAGCTTTGCTCCACTGCAGCTCAGGGAAGCCCTTCGCTGCCCTCTGTGCTATGCGCTCCTGCACTGCGAYGCGCAGCTACGCTGTGCTCATGGGGAAGTTAACCCACCCTGCCCCGGTGCTGCCACCCTGGGGTGCAAACAGCAGCTTTGTTTTGTGTGAGKTTTAAAAGCCTCTGTCATGCCAGATGTGGAGCAGAGCACTTTTAAGACAGCATCAGAACAGATGGCCAGTGTGCAATGTAGCTGGGCTTTGCAGCAGTCCTTCTTTCCTTAAACTACAACTAAGGATGCYCAGGAGCAGCAGCAAGGTGTTCTTGTGCACATACAGCAGCAGTGCTGTGTCCTTGTGCCTATGCACGTTAAGCAAGTTTTTTAAGGGATTTTATTSCTGTTTTGTGGGCCTGTGACTCTGCCAAGTATTTCACCATGTGTGGCTTTCTGACCGTGCAATCTGGGGGTTAGAAATCCCAGTGTCTGTTGGCAGCATTGGTGACYGCTAGAGGCGGTTAAGACAAATTGCAACAGGAGAAGAGAGAGTAAAATATGGAGAAAGGTTTTTGCTTTGTTTTTAAACCAATTTTCTGTGTTTTTGGTCAAATATAAAGGTATATTTGACCTGGTGTGTAGAGGCAACATAAAATTCCTTAATCATGACTACTTGGAACTTTCTTTAATAGTCCTAAAATATGGAGTAGATCTGTCAGAAAAGAATCAAATGCAGAGATGTATTAGGAATGATGAATGAGAGGTGTAACACTAGCTTTCCATGTGAACTCTTCTTGACTCCTCCTGATACAGCTAAAGGCCGGATCGCTGCTACGAACTTCCTCACAACTCAAATYGGATTTAGAGCCTCTGTTCTCATAGCCCTGCGTGTTTTTCCTGCTGTTCCAGTGTGAATGTGCAGTGATTTCACTGTAATTGTTTTGCTTGAGCAAATGTCGGGGAAAATAATAATTATGTCCCCTAGGAATTTGATTACAGTTGTTGTTAACCTTTCAGGAAAACAAGGGAGCAGAGGCACAGGCAGCCCTCAGGTGAATTGGAGAGAGGTTCTGCAGCCAAGCGGGTGCATCTCGCATGAGACGAAGGACAGCGCATATTTTTCTAGTTCACAGTAATGAGCTCTGACCTTTCTATACATTCCTGTCTACAAGACCTTTCATCACAGGGTAAATGGTGAAGGGGGCRGCTGGTGTCCCAAAGCTTCCTGCTGGAAACAGGGGGGTCATCTTTAGCATTTGATAGTAGAGGTATGTGGAGTTTCCAGAGAGGGACCAGTGGAGAGCGACAAAAGTTGATTAAGGGACTGAAGCATCTCGTACAAGGAGARACTGAGTGAGCTGGACCTGTTTAGCCTCCAGAAGAGAACGTTGAGAGGGGATCTGATCAACATGTACAAATACCTGAGGGGAGAATGTAGGGAGAAAGGGGCCAAACTCTTCTCAGTKGTGGCCAGTGACAGGACAAGGGGCAATGGGTACAAGCTGAAACCCAGGCAATTCCATCTGCCTGTGAGGAAGAAGTTCTCCGCTGTGAAGGTGACAGAGCCCTGGAACAGGCTGCCCAGGGAGGTTGTGGAGTTTCCTTCTCTGGAGGTCTTCCAAACCCACCCGGATGCAACTCTGCCCTGTGCTCTGGGTGTCCCTGCTGGAGCAGGGGGTTGGACTAGATGATCTCTAGAGSTCTCYTCTAACCTCAAGAATTCTGTGGTTCTGTGATTCCTCCAGTCTTATTTCAGTCAGTTTTTCATTATCTGCAAGGAAATTTAGACAAAAATCATGACATGGGAGCACTGGTTTGCAGTATGTTTATAATAGTGAGTTACACTTTCTGGTATGGGTAGACCTGCCTATTATGGTGCAATTTGGTGGATTTTCATTCCTCCCCCTGCAGCTATGCAGCTGGATCTTCTGCATGCTGTGCRCACCGTCTCTGTGCAAGACCTGTAGGTTCTGTACCTTCCTGGGGCACATTGAAGAGCTGCCCTGTCTTCCCTGGCATCACTGCTCAGCACTCAGGCACTGACACAGTAAATGCATAGCCCTGTTTTGCTCCGTCAACCACAAATGGAATTCGGTTTTGGCACAGTTTTGCTTCTCAATAACACGTAAGTAGGGTAGGCTTTGTGCCAGCACACGGGTTTTCCAAACTCCTCAGGATGTGAGAAGCCCTTTGTGCAACTTTGTGCTTGTTCGGCTGTGTGGAGCTGGTGGTTCRGGTAGCGGTGGGGTTCCAACTCCTGCATGATAAGGAGCTGAAAAAGAAGCTTCCAAGAGGAGGTCTCCTGGCCCTCTGGTCTCTTGGGACATCCTGGTCAGTATCAGAGCTGAAACAGGTGGTTCCCTGGCAGCAAGGATGTGTCCAAGAAGCCTTGTGAGTGACCTCTGTTAAATATGACCAGTTATGGCTCCATCTTTAAGGGCAGTGTGATTGAATGTTCTTACTCAGCCCTAAGGTGTAATCACGTGAGTATTAGGRGTTTGAAAACCTTCATTAAATAAGGAGACTACTCAGCACAGAATCACAG